TCTCCCTTGGCAACCATAAGTCTGTTCTCTATGTCTGTGGGTCTGTTTCTTTCATAGATAAGTTCATTTGTGTCATATTTTAGATTCCACATATAGGTGATATCCTATGGTATTTGCCTTTCTCTTTCTGACTTACTTGGAGTAGTATGATAATCTCTAGGTCCATCCAGGTAGCTGCAAATGGCATTATTTCATTTTTTATGGCTGAGTAATATTCCATTGTGTGTGTATGTATGTATGTGTGTGTATATATATATATACCACATCTTCTTTACCCATTTATCTGCCGATGGACATTTAGGTTGTTTCCATGTCTTGGCTGTTGTAAATAGTGCTGCTATGAACATAGGGATGTATGTATCTATTCGAATTACAGTTTTGTCTGGATATATGCCGAGGAATGAGATTGCTGCATCATATGGCAACACTATTTTTAGTTTTTTGAGGAATCTCCATACTCTTCTCCGTAGTGGCTGCACCAATTTATATTCCCACTAACAGTGTAGGAGGGTTTCCTTTTCTCCACAACCTCTCCAGTTTAATCACACTTTTTTTTTTTTTTTTTTTTTTTTTTACGCGCGGCTCTCTCCTTTGTGGCCTCTCCCCTCGCGGAGCACAGGCTCCGGACGCGCAGGCCCAGCGGCCATGGCCCACGGGCCCAGCCGCTCCGCGGCATGCGGGATCCTCCCGGACCGGGGCACGAACCCGCGTCCCCTGCATTGGCAGGCGGACTCCCAACCACTGCGCCACCAGAGAAGCCCCTAATCACACTTTTTAATACATGTTAGTTTTGCTTATTTTTTGAAATTTATAAAATTGAAATCTTAAATTCATTCTTTTCACTCTTGTTTTTACCGCTTAATAATACTTTTTAATTTACCCTTGGTGATACACATTGTTGTAGTTCAACTTCACTGTTGAAAAGATATTTCATTACACAAATATTGTATAATTTGTTCATTCATTTTCCTAAGCACATTTTGTTATTGCCAATTTGTTGGTTATTTACTGGTGCAAATATTCTTCTATCTCTTTTTTGGATACATAAACAACTATTTCTTTGTGGTATATAATGCATACAGGAATAGAACTGGTGTATTATGGACAAGGTGCATGTTAAGCTTTATAACATAGTACCAACTTGTTTTTCCTACTGGTTGTATCTTTGTACACTCTCACCAGCAACGTTCAAGAGTTTCCCTTGATTCACGTACTCTCTGTCATTATGCTATGGGTTAAATGTTTGTATCTCCCCAAAAATTCATATGTTGAAATCCTAGTCCCCAAAGTGATGCTTACAAGCAGCCCTGAGTTAATGATTCTAGACAACATCACCATGATAAGCATATGAGATGGAACACTTGGCCTAACAGTTACTAAGACTTACTAGAAGGTCATTATAATGCAAACAGTATAATATTAATACAAAAATAGACAAATCGACCTACAGACCAGGATGGCTGTAAGACAGACTCGTATCTCAGAATTTACTGCATAATAAAGGTGGTACCACAAGTCACACTGTTTAGTGAACGATGATAGGAAAGCTGCTCATTATGGAAAAAAATCCATACCTATTATCACCTATAAGAATGGAATCCACGTATATTAAAGAAATAAGCCAAAAGAAACCAAGGCAGAAGATAATGTGCCCTAGGGTTAGGGAAGAACTTAAAATTCCAAAAGCATCATTAATAGTTTTAATCACATCAAATTAAGAATTTCTGTGAATCAAGTTAACATAAAGCTGTTGCAGAGAGATGATATTTGCCAGGAATAAAACCACAAGGAAATGATTATCTAAATATACAAGAAACTCATGCATATGAAAAAAGCATAAGAAGCTCAAATTCTAAAAATGAGTAAAGGATATCTGAGCCAATTCAGAGCCAAAGAAACCCAATATATGATAGGGGCCGAAAACCATTGGTAATCAGAGGAACGCACTTTAAAACAAAACAGAGATAACAGTTTAGACCCATCATACTCTAAATACAGAGGGCTGAGTGAAAAAAATAAGGAACCCAATACTATCTATGTAAATTACAACTCATGAAATAATTCATGGCTTACACTAATACTTTAGAAAAGAAGAATATAAACCAAATATACATTGGGGAATTGGGAGTGAGGAGTGGACCAGAGGCCTTGCAAAGAGCAATGATCACCAGATGCCCAGAACTGCAGAGGATTACTAAGGAACCCTTGGCTCATTAACCAAAGCAAAACCACAGCGCACAGGTGAAATCATACTACGTCATCTTAAATTCCCAATTCCATCGTGGGAATCCTACCCACACGACACCCAGCTCAGGAGTCCACCATCAGCTAAGCTCTTTGCTTCCCAGGGAATATCTTGTTCCCCAACAGTCCTAATCATCCTTCTATAGGCTGAGGATAAAATGACTCTTTATCTAGTTTTCCAAATATTTATATTTCTATGGTAATATAGCACTGAAATAAAAAAGTGATTTTTTTTTTTTTTTTCCTGGTACGCGGGCCTCTCACTGTTGTGGCCTCTCCCATTGTGGAGCACAGGCTCCGGATGCGCAGGCTCAGCGGCCATGGCTCACGGGCCCAGCCGCTCCGCGGCATGTGGGATCTTCCCGGACCGGGGCACAAACCGGTGTCCCCTGCAACAGCAGGTGGACTCCCAACCACTGCGCCACCAGGGAAGCCTTGTTGTTTTTTTAATAATTGAAATTTTTAACCAAAACTTTTTTCTCTCATTTTCTTGTATCTTTTTATTCCCACCCATTCATTCAGTAGAAGTCATTGCCTCAGGGAAGGGATAATATGGCAGAGAAAATCTTTTTGGTGTTAAAAGCATCACTATGAAGTATGTAACCCCCAAGCCATAAAACATTATCTCTGGAAAGCCAGATGAAGAGCCAGGCCAGCTTGTCCTCAGACTACATAAAAGTGGTCATGACTGCGGGGAACAAGAGCAGCCACGGCAGAATCCAAGTTAAATGATGGTGGGTTCCTAAGCTCTGTTTCCTACAGAACGGTCTCGGCAGACGGAACTGGGAATCCCAGATCAGACAGAACTGGGCCCCTAGCCCCAGGGGGTGCCTGGAACCAGCAAGATTCCTGTGTCCTGTCCCTCAGCCTGGCTCCCCAGCATGGCACCAGGACAGGCCTGAGGCCACGTAACAGAGTATCTTGCAATAATGCAGGAAGAGCTTTGCGCCTGAGAGCAGAGCAGAGACAGCTGCTCTGAAAGTCATTTGTAAGATCGTAGTAGACGCACCAGGGGCCCAAAGTCAAAATGGGAATAGAGACGCCTCCTTTGAGTCTATGTAGATGAAGAATGATTTCAAGGAAAGGTCTTCTCCATCCCTCAAGTCTCTGCCTTCGCTCTTAGACATCACCCCACAGAAAGGAAGAGGCACTCCACTAAACACATGGGCTCTCAATGTGGGAATATCTCGCTCCCCAGCAGACATTTGGCGATACCTGGAGACATGTTTTGCTGTCACAAGTGGGGGGTGCTGCTGGAATCTGATAGGCAGAGGTCAGAGATGCTGCTGAACATTCTACGGTGCACAAAATGGCACCCCCCAAACAAAGAATCACCCAGCCCCAAATGTCAGCAAGGTCAAGGTTGAGAAACACTTCCCTAAACTGAGATTAGGTTTTGATGACCTGGCACAATAAGAGATTTATAATTTTAACATAAATGCTCATTTGTTTTAAATAAAGAAAATTACACCTAGTTCATGGGTTGAAATGTGGAACCACTTGCTTACGTTCAGGAATATATCCTTTCTCTAATATAAAATAATCAACAATTATCAGTTTTGCATTTAATGAAAAGGTTTTGCGGGGGGAAGAAAAGTTGAAGTAGCTTTGAAGTAAGACAAAGCACCTCACTCACAAGGAGGAAAAAGAATTGGTGACATGAGGACAGATGCTGGAAGCTTACGACAATATCTGAAGCAAATGAGAGAAGCAAAGTGGGGGGTAGCGGGTGGGGAGTGGGGTGGGGTGTTAGGGTTAGGGGAGGAGAAAAGTACGTGCAGGGAAGTCATCCCTGGCTGGAGGAACATTCAGAGGGGAACAAGTGGCTCCTAACTTAGGACGATGGGGACCATGAGCATTTTTCAGAGAGGTGAGGTGGGTTTTCTTCCAGACTCTCCAACGGAAGTTTACTAAGAAGGTAGCCTGAGAACCTCAGATCACTAACATCCCAGGAAGAATATCAGCAAAGGGAAAAATTGAAAGGGCTTTCAAAAATAGCATAGGTGAGGGCTTCCCTGGTGGCGCAGTGGTTGAGAGTCCGCCTGCTGATGCAGGGGACATGGGTTCGTGCCCCGGTCCAGGAAGATCCCACATGCCGCAGAGTGGCTGGGCCCGTGAGCCATGGCCGCTGAGCCTGCGCATCCAGAGCCTGTGCTCCGCAACGGGAGAGGCCACAGCAGTGAGAGGCCCACGTACCGCATTAAAAAAAAAAAAAAAAAAGCGTAGGTGAAAGCAAAAGCCAGAAACGATGAAGAGAGGAAAAGGGGGAAAAGAGAAGAAAAGGAGGAAGGGAGAGGAGAGAGGTACAGGGGAAGGGGAAGGGAGGGAGAGAGAGAGATCTAGAAACAATTGCAATGAGTAATAAAGTAAACCAGTCTTATGTTAATGACATGCCAAAGTGTTCCATTTTTATGCAAAAGCAAATAACTGTGAAGTATCCCCAACATAAACACTGATTAAAAGAGATTAAATGTCTCGGGATGAAATGTCATAATATTACACAGTGTCAGTTTGTGGTGTTCTCAAAATGTTAATGACCTCCAGCTTCAGCTGCTTCCATTACCAGCTATCTCAAGGGAGAACAGCCTCAGCTGCAGGGTTGCCAGGAGGAGCTCAGAGCCTCGTCCCATCTCCTCCCCATTAACAGATAAAATTTCACTGAAAATGATTCGGTGACATTTGGCCATAATTCAGAAGGGACCACATTTTTTAAAAAGAATTTTTCTTTTATCAGAAAGTACTTGAGTTTATCTTACCATTTCAATAATGCTCCAGACCTCATTCAGTCAGTCTTCAGTACTCTTTGGAATAACAGTTTTCTATTCTCTAACAGTGACATTTCCCCAGCAATGGTAGCATCTGCAGAAAATTTAGGAAGTGAGAGTTCATCATTTTACAAACTAATTCTGGAAAAAAGCGTGGGTTAGGATGAATTTATCACTATTTTACCAGGACTGATCCCAGAATTCTTCATAAAGTGTTAGTGTACTGAGTGGCCACGCCCCCTCATTTACTTTAATAAAAATCATTAGTACTTCCGGTCTCCACAATTATTTTTGCCTCCAAGCCAAATAAAATAGGCTAACACCCTGTGGTCACTTTATGAATTAGTCATTCTCTCCCACCTATTCTACTGACCCAGTTTCTCTCACACAGCCAGGACACGTGCCATCTAACTGGCTACACTTTTGAACGCATGAACCTCAATGGGTATGTATCTGTTGCCTAGTAATATCTACGCTTTCTGCAGTACATAAGTTAGCATTCAGTCATTTATGGTTGGTGCAACTCTGCATTTATTCAACAAATGCTCATTGAGTTTTTATTAAGCACAAGCTCTCTAATTAGTCCCTTCTCTCAATAAATTTCTTAACATCTGGAGTGGGGTCAGGGGTGACAGAAAGAACAATATGGGGCAAGATAGATATGTACCACTTCTAGGGTCCAGTTACAGTGCTCAGTAACTAACACAAGGAAGTCTTTTAGCTGGAGACTTCAGGAGAAACCTCAGCGCAGGTGGACCTCGTAAATTTTGACAGAATGTTGACTGAGATGAACTGAATAAAACATTCTATCTGCCCTGTCTGAATACAGTAGCCTATAGCCACATGTGGCTATTTAAATTAAAGTTAAGCAAACTGAAATAAAATTTAAATTTCAGTCACACTAGCTTCAAGTGCTCAATAACCACATGTGGCTAGTGGTGACCATAGTGGACAGTGTAGAAGAATATTTCCATCACTGCAAAAAAATTCATTGGACAGCTCTGTTCTAAGTCGAAGAAACGGGATAATTACGAGAAACCACAAGTGTTTTATGGATGTCTGGAGACTGGCAAACACCCCCCATTTGCTGGTGAATATCCTTATGAACGTGCTCCTTCCTATGCTCCATCACAACCATCACTCCATTGCAAGGTAGAAAGTCATCCACACAAGAAAACTACAAAATTCATAAATACAAGCAAACTACAAGCTCCCTTTTGAATCTGTTTAAAGGATTGACCAGGATTGGGGATCACAGACAGTTCTTGATCCCTTTCCACCTTGAAAGCACAACCAATGTCCTACTCAGTTATTTTGGCCAGTCATTCCCAGGTATGAATTAATGGGGGCTTACTGTGTTCTGTGTTGATGATTCATCACAATAGGCCAGTGAAGCAGAGTAAGTATCAGAAGCAGTGAACATTACTGGTTGGAACAGTAAAGTGGATGGGGCTCAGATCTACTCACAGGAAGGGAAAATAAGGCTTTTGATGAGAAAAGACAATACCCAGTAGTATAGGCATTCTTTCCACCCCTGCAATCTTTCCACTGCTGATGTTTCCTGTCATTTTTACATGAGGACCCAACCTTTACCTTACACTATCTTGGGCATTTTATGTAACTTAACTCAGGCAATTCTCAGATGTCAGTCTCTACGGGATGTGCTGTGTATTTTAAAGAAACTTTACAATATATTTCCATTCACAGCATTTTAAGATGTAGGCTTCTATGACATGTGATAAAGAGAAATCTCTTCCCTGCTGGGAGGTGATCAAGGTACCCTCTTCAGGTTCTAATAGTGAATGACCATATTTAAAAGGTGTGCACGTTCTGTGAACGTTAAAAAAAAAAAAAAAAAGACTGAAAGCTGAGATCCTAAAGGTCAAAAGTAGAGAATGGAGAGAACGTAAAAATTTTATTCTATTTTTTCCATAATCAGAAAATAAAGTTTTATGTAAATCCCTTTGATTTGCTAAATAAACATATTTGTGGATAGGAAATTCAAGAGACCTTTGGCATTTGAAGAAATCAACTGTCTCAGTATTCAACTGTATCAATCACACAATGACACTTGGTTTTCACCAAGCCACAAGGGGTCCGGATCACCTGGCAAAGATGAAGTGAAAATGTACACTGTGAACAGTAACAGGCTACTTGATCATGAGGATCCCATGCATTATCCCAGAGCAGACTAGCTTTGTCGAAGCCACAAGGATTTCAATACTCTCCTGGTGAGACCTTTCCATTCTATAAATTCATTCTCTTAAAAAAAGTGATCTTACCCTAAACCTGTGGACTTTAAACCTTCTTTTTAAAGTAGACAGATGTCCAATATGGAAATCAGACAGAAGATCCTATAGGTGGTAGGGGGAAACAGGGCCCTTTGAGTTTTCTCTTTCTATTCCCTACATAATTCCAGAGATGCCAGTGAGCAAGGTTTGAAAACCACTATATCAAATTATTTCCATCACTGGCTGCCAAGTATGACACCCCCTGGAGTTGTACAGCATAGCAGGCCTGCCCAAAACGCCAGAAACAGCAATTAATTATAAGAACTAGGATGTTTTTGTATCTTCCAGAGTCTCCTATAAAAATGCAAATGTTCCTGGGGAGAAAGATCTTAAGCAATCATGGGGAATTATTTTATCAATTCAATTTGCAGCTTGGAAACTTCGGTGACAGCAAAGCCCTGTAGGATTGGGCACAGATAAAGGAACTGAAACAGATGTAACCAAGGAAAAATGTCTTTATTTCCTGAGGTTGTACAGGACCCACCTAACAGGCTATCGATCGTTTTTAAATAAAGAAAATTATAAAATGGCCAACATTTGAATGTATCTCCATTGCCAGATACTTTTCCAAGTCTCAATCTATGTTTTAGCTCATTTTATGTATTCCTTTATACATTAACTCATATATGTATGCCTTACAACAACATGATGAAAGTACAATTTTATACCCATATTACAGATGAGGCAACTGAGGCACAGAAGAGTTAAGGTCACACAGCTAATAAGAGGCAGAGCCAAAATTCAAATCTGCACAGTCTGACTCTAGGGCCTGTGATAACCTCACACAATGGTTAATCTTCCAGAGGTGCACAATTATTTCAGTTCACCCCAGCACTTCTAAAGGGTGGCCCCCTCTGAACTTTAACTCTCTGACCTCTGTGATTCTCTTGATTTTGGCTAATTACCCCAGAGAAAACAAGAAGGATGAATTTCCAGCAAGCTATGAGCTTATTGAGATGGGAATTATCTTCTAGTTTTGCACCCAATCTAACCAGTTGAATAAGGATTTCACTCAATTGAGGCCTGGTGTTTTCAGGTCTGCCATGCACTGCACCAAGTATTGTGATGCTCAGCTCAGGAAAATGACACATATAGAGTTTGACTGAATATCATCTTCTAGAGCTGAACTGTGAAAACTGGTGACCCTAGGAGTTTGGCCTTTGCCCATATCATTAAAGCATCCATATTTTCTTCTAGGAGTTTCATGGTTTCAAGTCTTATGTTCAAGCATTTAATCCATGTTGAGTTGATTTTTGTGAGTGATGTAAGATAAAAGTTCAATGACACTCTTTTGAACATGGCTATCCAGTTTTCCCAGCACTGTTTTATTAAAGAGAGTATCCTTTCCCCATATTCTTGGCTCCTTTGCTGAAAATTAACTGACCATATAGGCATCAGTTTATTTCTGGGCTCTTTATTCTACCGCATTGATCTATGTCTGTGTCTTTATGCCAATACCATACTGTTTTGAGTACTACAGCTTTGTAATACAGTTTGGAATCAGGAAGTGTGATGCCTCCAGCTTTATCCTTTTTCAAGATTGCACTGGTTATTTGGGATCTTTTGTGGTTCCATACACATTTTAGGATTTTCTTTTCTAATTCTGTGATAAATGCCATTGGAATTTTGACAGGGATAGCATTGTATCTGTAGATCATTTTGGGCAGTCTGGATATTTTAACAATATTAATTCTTCCAATCCATGAACACAGAATATCTCCACTTATCTGTGTCCTCTTCAATTTCTTTCATCCATGTCTTATTGTTTTCAGTATACCTCCTTGGTTAAATTTATTACTAAGTATTTTATTCTTTTTGATGCTATTTTAAATGAGATTGTTTTCTTAATTTTTATTTCTGAAACTCTTTTGCTGGTGTACTATATAGCACAGGGAACTATATTCAATATCCTGTGATAAGCCATAACAGAAAAGAATATGAAAAAGAGTGTATATATAGGTATAACTGAATCACTTTGCTGTACAGCAGAAATTAACACAACGTTGGGAATCAACTATACTTCAATAAAATAAAATTTTTTAAAATGCAACTAATTTTTGTATACTGATTTTGTATCCTTCAACTTTACTAAAATCATTTCTTAGTTTTAACATTATTTTTGGTGGAGAGAAGACTCAATATTTTAAAGATAATTTTCCCCCAACTAACACAGATTCAGTGTAATCCAATCAAATGCTCATCAGGCTTTTTTTTTTTTTTAAATTGACAATCTGATTATAAAATTTATGTAGACTAAACAATTTGGGAAAAGATAACAAAGTTGGAAGACATACTCCATTGATTTCAAGATTTACTTTACTACCTTAGCAACCAAAACAGCATGATACAGTGTACAAATAGACATTCAGGTCGATGGAAGCAAATAGAGAATTTAGATATAAACTCACACTTATATGGTCCATTGATTTCAACAATGGCACCAAGGTAATTCAGTTGGGAAACAATACTCTTTTCAACAAATCGTACTTGAACAATTGAACATCCAAGGTCAAAACAAAATAAATGTACTCCACCTTTACTTCACCCCATATATAAAATATAACTAAAAGTACATTATACACCTACAAATTTAGAGCTAATACGACAAAACTTCTAGGAAGAAATATAGAAGAAAATCTTTGTGACCTTGAATAAGGCCAAATTTCTTAAATAGGACACGAAAAACACCCCAAAACTGATAAATTAAACTTTTAAAAAAGTTGCTTTTCAAAGACATTTTTAAGAAAATTAAAAAGCAATCCAAAGACTAGAAGAAAATATTTGTAAAACATAGATCTATTAA